GTTGCGTGTAGTAGATAGGTATGATAGTTTGGTTTAAAAGTTGATATATATACATGTACATGTATAAATGTATGTTGTGACCTATTTAAACATAAATGCTACAAATTAAGAATGTGGCCCTTCATGAAACTTTTATTATTAACCTGTAAATCAATAGTAAAGAATAATGGAGTGGTTGTGTAGTTAGCTGATGGTGTAAGAAGACCACATGACATAAATATTTCAGTAGTTAAGAGTGATCTATGTTCATGAACTGGCAATTTGTAAGAATCCTGTAATATAGTGTGTTATTCTGGCAACTAGAAATTCCTGATGGCTTTTTTTCTTCAATTAGAGGCCAAAAGGTGACAAAGTTAATTAATTTTTTAAATTTTTTTAGCCTTGAGTTTTCACTGAAGAAGAACTTACAGTTCTTTACACAAACTACCTCAAATCACTAGTAAAATCACTTGAGGTGTGTTTACATGGTGCAGCACTCTTGTGATTGTTACTGTACATGTATGATATACCAGCACTGATTCTCTGGGTTGAAACCACAGTTTATGGTAATTATGATTGTCTTTTAACAGCATGTCATAGTCAGGCAATTGGTGTGACCAGCAGTGATGCAATTCCAGATGGCAGCTTCTCAGCCTCATCAAAAGCTAATGATGCCCGTGGACCTTCAGCTAGTCGTCTGAATGGAAATAACCGGGGTTGGGCACCAAAAACTAATACTAATCACACTGACTACCTACAAATTGACCTGCAGTATGATTATGTTATCTGTGCTGTAGCCACTCAAGGATCTGTCAATAATGATCAGTGGACAACAAAGTACAAGATTAAATTATCATTGGGTGTCACCTTTAACACATATAAAGAAAACAACACTGAGAAGGTCAGTTTGATATTAATGAAACATCATGCTAAACTTGCTTGAATGTTTTTCTCATTTTTTGATATTTTGTTCATGTAGTTTCATAAAAATATACTTAACAGGTAATTTAGTGTTAGTAACTGGGTTTAAAACATAAATTGGCCACCATAGAGGGTTAAAAGGCAATTTTATGTTTTCAACTTAGTTGTTAACACTAAATTACCTGCTATACTCTCCCATGGACGCAGTACCACAGTTTCTTTAGAAACTTACCCCCTGCAAAAATACACTCTGTCAAGCCTAATTTTATAGGCAGAAGAATTATAGACAGTTATGGGAGAGCATTTTGGTATGTGTAAATTTGAATCAGTTTTATGACCAGGTCAAGTATAGGTGGAAATGAGTGAAAAATCTGACATGAGCTTCATAGGTCATGTCTTTCAGGCTTTGAAATGCTTATTTCTTAAGGCATAATGTAGTCCAGTGTATGATAACCCACTAACATGGAATGTTGGTGTGGCTTGCAGCTCTGATTTGAAGTGACTCATTTTGCTTGATCAAATGATTTGAAACTATTTTTGTTAGAATTAGAGCTGTAGATTATCCTCTTTCATCACTTTTTATGGTGATGGTGTTTGCTACATTTTTATTGGTTGGTTGTAGGCTTATTGATAATTCAAAGCCAAGGAAAACTGCTGTCACTTGTGCACGGAAAGTTGAAATTTTCTTTTGAAGTGAATAAACATGTCAGTGTCTATAACTGTTCATTTTCATTGATATCTTAATATTTTAGGTCTTTAATGGAAACTCTGGGAGAAATGACATAGTAAAACATGGTCTGAGGGAATATACTTTGGCAAGGTTCATCCGTTTTGTGCCAACAGATTATCATGGTTATAAGACATTGAGAGTGGAAGTTTATGGAGTTCTTTTATCTACAGGTACCAATTCTATTTTCTCTGTACCATAAATTATCATTGAAATCCTACAAGTGTTGCAAAAAAGTGGAAGGGAGTATTATGACTCACCTTACTTAAAATGTTACATAAAATCTCATAGCCTATACTGATACCATGCTGTAGAAAATATAGCCAGTCAGAATTCAGGAATTCCTTGTGTATTTGATGGTATTGCACCCACTCATGTTCAGGTAATGACATTGAATACTAGTGACTTGTGGGATATTCAGTGGTATACTACTCAGCATTACTTATACAGATACCATGCAGCAGAAAATATAGCCAATCAGAATTCAGGAATTCATTGTATATTTGATAGTATTGTGCCTACTCCTCTTATTGCATGCTGTGATCTTCTTCGTGCCAAAATCGAGCATGCAATGTCGCTTCTAGTATATTTCAAGTGCTGTTTGAGCCATGTCAGTGCCAAATTCTGCCCTCAACATTAATGTTTGGGTAATGACAGACTATGAGTGACTTGTGTGATATTTCATGGTATACCACTCAGCATTGCATAACTGGTATATATTTGAGTGATATACTGGTATGTATATGTTCTTTGTCTATGATCATATTTATAAGTTATCCCCTACAGAAATCAGAATTACCACTTAGTCACTCCCTAAATGGCACTCATTTAATCCATTGAGGACGAATGAAGTCACTGAGGTTCACTTGATGTCAGACTTGAAAGAGCTTGAAATTCTGACTTGCAAAGTTTTAGGGAGGACTCAAAAACTGAGTTAGTAAAAAAATAACACTTCATCATTATTAACAACTTTCATCTGTGTTGACCAATTCAGTTCCTTTGTAAGCACATGACCGTTGTGAAGCTGTATAACTAAAATACCTAATAATCATTTTTATTCAACAATCCAGTTCCATCACAAGCTCCAGGTAACTTCACTGTGACTGCAACCTCATCTACTAGTATAAGAGCATCCTGGACATCACTTCCAGAATATGCCAGACATGGAACAATCACAGGATATAAGTTGTTTTACAGACAGAAGGGCTTAGTGGACAATTCAGTCATGGAGTCTGTTAGTGGAGCAGCAACATTAACTGAAATTCTCACTAATCTTAACAAGTATACCAGATATGAATTTCAAGTGTTGGCTGTTGGATCTCATGGTGAGGGACCAAAAAGTTCTGTAATGGTTGGGCAGACATTGGAAGATGGTAAGAGGCTAAAACTGAGCAGTCTAGGTTGTTAGGAAAAACATTTTTTCAAAAAATCTTGCTGATTTGAATGAGATTGGAACATATGTGTACACCTTGTACATATAGATTGCCTGAGTTTTACTGTATTCAGTTTAATATTCTGTATGATATTGATAGAGTTAAGACAGTAGTAACATTGAGAACAAAGTATTATTCATAGCAGGGAATGCATTGCAAGTGTCCAGATGGCTTCTGCAATGTAAGTGAACATGTAAAGCACATCATCCAATTAGTACATTTTTTCTGCCAAAGGTCAAGTTTATTCCATTATAGTTTAAATACTAACTTTCATCTTCCATTCTTTTACTACTTTAGCACCAAGTATTCCTTCAAACCTTTCACACTCTGAGATAATACCAGATAAACAAGTTGGTCCAAAGATAAAGCTCACCTGGCATAAGCCAGCAGAAGAAAATGGAATTATCAGGAGTTACACAGTGTTTTATAGTCACGATGAAGATCCTCATAATATTAACACTGAAACCTTGGGAGGAAACATGTTAAGTTACACAGTAGATGTATTAGGTGGGGCCACCTATCAGTTCCACGTCAGAGCTGCAACGATCAAACCTGGACCAAATGCAACCTTGTCTGTTGCTATTAATGATTATGGTAGGTGTAAATTAAAAAAGATTATGATCAAGAGGCCAGTTCTGATATACTAAAATTCTAACATAGCTCCGTTGCTAAGGGGAATAAAACTAAAGAAACTAATTATTCATCCCTCAACCTCCATGTGATTTCCTTTATTTTATTCCCCCTAACCCTCGGTGCCAAGTTTGAATTTTATTACATTGAAAATTGCCTATTAAATTCACTTTCAACTTTAATGTTATCTGATAAGTGTAGATGGTAAGTTATATCAAGGTAGACAAATAGAGAACAGCTGCATTACAGGAGTGGTACAGGAAGGACTCTCCTTATCAACTCCAAGTGCTTCCCAAGATACATGTAGTATTGAAGGACTGGTAAACATGATTAGTCAACATCAATGACTACATACCTAAAAAAAATAAAGATGTGATGAAGGGGAAAGGAGGGAAGAATTACTGAAATACAATTTAGATAAACTTTGAGGATAAATTTTTGATCCAATGTGATTCAGAAATAATTAATTATTAAATTTTTTCGTTCAATGACAGACAGATAACCATTTATCTGAATTGGTATATTTTTTTATTCCCTTTGTAAGAACCCAGTGTAGCACCAAATGATGTGTCTTTCAGTAGACTGAACCAAACAACCTTCAATATTTCATGGTCACCTCTGACAAGAAAAGAGAGTTATAGCAAAGTTATCTCATATGAGGTCAAGACATCATTGGTGTCTTCTGGAAGTCGACAAAAGAGATCTCCAGCCAACAGCAAAACTGTTAACACAACAAGAGCATTTGTTATCCTGTATGATATTCAGCCTTGTTACAATGTGTATGTCCGAGCGTACACTAAAGCTGGCCCTGGACCATATGGTCAACCCTTACCTCTGGAATTGAGTAAGTTTCATTTTTTTTTTTGACAAATTAAATGTAGAGCATGCAAAATTTTGCTTCAAAGTCATTAATTTAGACTGTATAGAAGCTTGATGTTTAGTCTGATTCAAAATCACCAGTAAGAGTAAGAAAATCAAGGCATTTTGGCTGTCTTTGGTTGTAGCTTAATTTGACTAATAACCAGGAAATTGATTAATTGAATAGGGGGTGATATTCAAAATGCACCCCTTAGTGTACCCAGGGAAACAAGTTGCATAAATTTTTCCTCACAATTAGCTGTACATTTTATGTCACATTCACATTATTTAATTTATTCTTATTACAACATGGACTATTTGTACAAATAAAAAAAAAACTACAGAAAAAATAGGAAATTAATAAAAGTGCATTAACTGAATACACAAAAGAAGAAACTTACTCTGGAATCTAAAACAGTTATGATACTTACATTGTTTTACTTCCTAATAAGACAAAGTACCAAAGGCACCCAACAACCTGAGGGCAACAGACTCTCAGTCAACAGAGATGACACTGGAATGGGTGAGACCCCAACCTGCTATGGAAGAAAAGTGGAAGGTGAAGTGCTTTCTTTTTTTCAGTTTACTTTGCTGTAACAACTTGGGTTTTGACAAAATTTTATACAGCTCTTTGAATCTGAGAATCAGAAAGTACTATTTTTGTGATTTTTGTAATTCCTAACCTAAAGAGCGTTTTAACCCTTTAACTCTCGAGATCTTATAAGTAATTCTCCTTACTGTCCGCCATTCAATTATTTTGATGTCAATTTAGAGAAATTTGTATTGGATCAACGGATAATCCCCTTATTGATATTTTACTTTATTCTCATCACTCCTATGCTTGATATTGTATCGATATTGTAAGGAGAAATTCTGTCTCGATCACTCATGGGAGTTAAAGGGTTCAAGGAGAACAGATGGAAGTGACTTCTGTCGTAATGAGTATGACGCATAAGTGTAGTAGAGTACTGGTACCATTAGTATGACTACCATTTAAGAGCAGCTATTGTAATAGTTACTGTAATAAGTGAGAGGAGTTATATGTACATGCACAGCTGTATGTTGTATTGCATGTACATGCCACAACTCCTTTATAAACTAAGGTTTTTTACGTTTTGAGTTGTGATCATGAAAATGCACGTCCACGTGAGATTTTATTTGTAAATAAATTAGTGCAGGTGTGGTATTTACTGTATCTGCATTTGACTCAATTGTTTGATTGTTAAGGTTGAGTACTCTGGGAAAAAGTCTTACAACAACAGCTTTTCACACGAAGGTAGCAATGATGTACAGGGAACAACAAAATATACCCTTGATAATTTGGTACCAGGTACCAAATATGACCTTCGGGTGTATGGAATCTCAAAATGTGGAAACAACGGAGTCTCCTCATCTTTGGAAGTAGAAACAAAAATAGGAGGCAAGCAATGCAATAACATGCAGGTAACCATTTGACCCCCAAGAGTGACTAACATCTAATTTCTCCTTACAATATCACCCCTGAATCACACAATGTGGTCACAAGAATAAAAGAAATGATCACCTACTAAAGTAGTTTCTGATTGTTGAACAAATCCTCCTTGTTAGCACCTTAGGAAATATATGGGATCAGTATGGAGAATATGCATCTTGAAATTGATGTAAATTTTTTGCAAATCATATTATATTTGTTTTCTTCCCAGAGCCATTGGCTCCAGTTTTACCATCATTGACCACCAGGAAGGTCGTTGAGTTGCAGGTTGAAATTGAACTTTGGCCTGCAGAACAAAGGAATGGTCCGATAAGGTGACAGTTATTCCAATAATATTTTAGGTCTTTTACATGTAAACTCTTTGTTCTTAATATTTCAGTGATCTTTGTGACGTTTGATTCAAATAATTGTTATTAGTATACACCACTCCAGTGAATAGTGCCTTTGCGTGCACTGATTGGCTAATTGGGAAGTAAATATATATAAAGAGTAATTTGACTTAGGTAAGACAGTGCTCAATACATAGGAGTAGAGCGATGTATATATTGTGGGAGGAAAAAGAAAAATAAACTACCAGTTCATCCCTACAGACCTGTTTCGTGGTTGCCCACTCATCAGGGGATTTAAAGAGAACAGATCTTTACCATGGGTTTTATATACAATATGATCTAATTTATGCAGTGCGGAATTTAACAGTTAGTTGTTGCGTAGGAGGGCTTTGTTTCTGTGGCGGCAGGAAGACACGAGTTCATTACGTTTGTTCAGTGTTGATAGTTCGGGTCGGCAGATGATTAAGAATTTTTCTTTTAGGCAGAGATTACATCTTTTACTTGAGCTGTTGTACGGCGAGTGTGACGAGAGAATGCGCCAGGAAATAAAGTGCTCGCTGTTATTCATATATTAAAAGAAACAAACTTGTTTATCGTCTTTGCGTGGTATATACTAACACAATTATTCACATTGGTGTCGGTGAAAGTGGTGGATATTTGCCTCTATTTTGGCAAACAATTTTTAATAATTGTTTTTCATTATTCCAGTGCTTACCAAGTCATTGTTCTGAGAGTTGTTGATGGACTTGAGGAGCTTCCCACTGATTATAAATCACAGCTGAATGGTTCAAACAAAGACGGATTGAGCTTTTATGTTGCTGCTGAGATAGAAAACAGTCCAGTTCATGAGAAGTCTTGGAATTTTACTATTGGTGACGGAAATTCATATGGACTTTTTGTAAACAAAGAACTTAAGAGAGGAGATGACTACATTGTTTACCAGAGAGCCGTAACAGAAGACGATGGTGTAAGTGAATTTTATACAATTATGAACTACATTACATGTATTGAAGCGCGAGAAAACACAAATGACCAAATCACGATAGGTTTAAGTTTTGAATCTGAGTGGTTGAGAAGGTGGTGCAAGTTGATAGTATTTAGTTTTTATAAAACACAACTTAGTTACTTATGTCGCATAAGGAGTTTGATTATAACTTCCATGAATTTCATGTCCTTTCTAGTACGTTTATGGAGAGGTCAGCAAAGTAGCTAAGATTTCTGTTGAAGCAGGTAAAAGTTACTTTTCTTAATCTTACATAGTAATGACATTATTTTATAAAAAGGAAAATATATATAGACTTAGTAGCAAACTTCGCAGAGTTCTAATCTTTGTGTTTCAATCGCAACATGTTCACTTGTCAGTTAATGATAAGAATTGGCCATCTGTGACATTGCATCTTATTTTTGTTGGTAATGTTTCTTGCAGTCAGGAAGTAGTTATAATAAGCGGGTTCTGGCACATTTTGATATCAACTTTTATTTTTAAGGTAACCCATGAAATCTATGTTGATTTTAAGTCAACCTTGAAATTAACCTTGATTACAGTTTTTCACATTTTGAAATCAACCTTGATTTAAAAAAAAAAACTAGTTTTTCGCATTTTTAAATCAACCTTGATTTCAAAGACAACTTAAATTATTCAAGATGATAATATTCACACCCTCTTCACGGTGTCTTACTTGTGAGTTCTGAAGAGGGTTTTGATATTATGCTCTTGAACGATCCTCTTAAACAATTTTCTTGAACGATCATCATCTTTGTGTGAAGATTTTCAAACACCAATTTTGGATCTTTTTGCAAAGAAGTCGTGGTGTGCCTTGATTTGTTCTTTTGTCAAAATTGTGTCTTTATTAATGAGAAGTTATCTCATTAATAAGTCACACTTTCAAGCTCACGGTTGATGATGTTGAACTGAGCATCTGAGAGGATGAAGATGTGACATTTAACATTCTCTGACCCTGATACTTTCCTATTAATTGTGAGCTGAACTCCATCTTTCGCATTAACCGATTTCAATCCACTTCTATCAAGATCATCGTCTCTCATACTCCTGAGATTGATGAAAAGAGAAGTCTGTCTCTAGCATAAAAGTATGTTGCATTCATCGTGCTGTTTTCCTCACCAAATCTTCTGAAGATCTCTTCCCACATATCTCTTGTATTCAATCTTTGGCTGTAAACCTTATTTGGGATTCCATTGACAATCACTTCACTTCAGTAATGTCGGGATTAAATGTCTTCTCACTGACTCTTGCACCAGCGACATATGGCTCGTACAATAGAAGAAGATGTCCCTTCACTGACTTCCTTGGAACATTGATGCTCTTATTGATGATTGTGTCTGATCCCTTATCTACTGAGGTCCTATTAAAACATCGTTGGCAGGTGCAAGCCTGAGCTTGAAAAGAAGCTCATCACAAAGAGCTCCTGAGAAGAAGACTCCGTGATCCTTTAGGATCTTTTGATCCAATGGAATCCTATATTTGTTCTGATAAACAACATTGAACTTATTCTCCTTTTCAACTCCTGATTTCTTCTTATCATCAGCATTGTATCTGAAATTCGAAAGATCAACAGGCTGAATACCTTCTCTGAACATGCTCACCCTCTCATTCTCAGTCAAGAAGAGGTCCTCAGAGAGCTTGAATAGATCATAATCATCAGTGTCCTGGGCGATTTCTCTTGCGAATTTCATGATCAACCTGTCAAAAAGAGCTCTTGCAACAACGTTCATGATATAATTGTTTGTGTGACCACTAACTGCTAAGTCAAAGATGAGTGAAAGAGATCCTGGCATAGGAACAACTCCGTCATCAAGCTTTGGAACTGGGACTGTAAGGACTTCACCTCGAGATGCCCTATTAGTGTTTAATGTTACTCTGTGAAATATACATGTAGGAAAAGATGAGTTTGTATCTGAGGTGTATATAGTCAATAGAAAACAGAGTTCGACTCACCTGAGAAAATTTGAGATCAGAGTTGGTAGGTTAATACACTTACAGTAACTTTTATTTTTGCAGTTGTTGATACAATTTTAGCTTTACATCTTCAAGAAAATTAATGATACAAATTGATCATGTTTATTGTCACTTGATATAACACAGTTTTTATATTTTTCCTGAATGAACTCAATGATGATGAAATGGTTGCTGCCAAATGACAACAAGGAAGAATCTTTATAATTACAAGGAACAGGAACAGTTTCAATAGTTGAAGGGGTACATTGACATTTTAGTAGGAGCTCAGTCATGATGATTTGTGAAATAACTGTGAGACGGTCATCTGTATTGGCAGGGATTAGCTTATTACAAATAAAGATGCCAATAGCAGTATCTATTTGTGGTCATTGGCTTATATTACTTAGCATCGTACCCCTGCTATACATAACTTTTGTGAGTCAGTATAGCCTACACACTAGAAGAAGGCAGCTTTTATTAAGGCAAAGACTCACCAGTACGGCAAATCTTGTTCGTTTTGAAAGTGAATATAGAAATTTGATCAGTGTATGAATTATTTTGCAGTCATCTCTTTCAAGTTGTTTGTACTTTTTAACAGTGATTTATTATAATAATTACAGTATTCGTTCAGGCATAGTATCAAGTATTAATAATACTAGTATGACTAGTCCCACATGTGGTGGGGCCGGTACTTGTTACCTTCTTCAAGGAGTAGGTTTGTTATTCTTCTACCATCGTAGTTTGAAAGGAAGGTATGTCACCATCGGGGATCTTATGGGAGATGAATCGGGATTAAACTCTTGTAAAGTTGAAGTGTATTGAGAACAAAGAGGTATGGCATATCTAAATATTTTGTAAGTCACTACTTTTAACTGCCACCTTATTGAGCTGGGGTTCCAATCTGCATTCTCAGGAAAATTTGCCATTTAATTTCTGTATGTAGACATGGAGGTACTTCAATATTATTAAATAAATGTAAAGTTGTGTGTAGCAGATAGGTGTGATAGTTTGGTTTAAAAGTTGATATTCATACGTATATACATGTATGTCATGACAAATTACAAATTAAAAATGTGGTCCACCTTAAAAGTTTTATTATTCACCTGTAAATCAATAAGAAAGAATTATGGAGTGGTTGTGTAGTTAACTGCATGATGGTGTATACAGACCCTATGATGTAAATATTTTAGTGGTTAAGAGTGATCTAAGTTCATGAACTGGCAGTTTGTAAGAATCATGTTGAAGTGTGTTATTCTGGCAAGTGGAAATTCCTGATCGCATTTTTTCCCCTCAATTAGAGGTCAAAAGGTGACAAAGGTAATATATCTTTTTATTTTTCAAACTTGAGTTTGCACTCAACAACAACATGTACCTCAACACAAATACCTCAAATCACTGGTAAAATCATTTGAGGCATGTTTAGATGGTGGAGCACACTTGTGATATTTACTTTACATGTATGATAAACTGATTCTCTGGGTTGAAACCACCGTTTAGGGTAATTATGGTTGTCTTTTAACAGCATGTCATAGTCAAGCCATTGGTGTGGTCAGCAAAGATGAGCCAACAGAAGGAAATGGAATTATCAGGAGTTACGTTGTGTCTTATAGTCAAAATGAAGAACCTCATAATATTGACACTGAAACCTTAGAAGGAAACATGTTATACAGTAGATGTGTTAGGTGGGGCCACCTATCAGTTCCGCGTTAGAGCTGCTACGATCAAACCTGGACCAAATGCAACCTTGTCTCTTGCCGTTAATGATTACGGTAGGTGTAGATCAGAAAACATTATAATCAATTAGACTCACCATAAACTTAAATGTAGTTTAATAAGTCAACTCTTACCGTTGCTTGGGCAAATTTGAAAAAGGTTAAACTCAAGTCACGACAGATCCTCGTTGAAGTTTGCCAACGTTTCAAAAGTTTGTGCCTGTGAACAGAAAACGATAGTGGCCCTATTTCTCCAGTTCAACCAAATAAGTTGGGTTCAAAACCTCAGCCACTGCAGATTACGAAAAGCAAACTAGCTTACCAGCGTTGTTTTTGTGTTTCCTAGATAATTTTTATTCCGGTCTGCATTTACCTTTTTTCGCCTTGCAATTCTTATTATGATTATTAGAATGACATCCTTTGTAGTAGTGTTTCTGTTATTTTATTTTCCCTTGGATGCAAAATTTGCGCTTATTTCCACTGATTTCATCAACAAAAGTGCCTTGATGCCTCCAGCTCTATGATGAGAGAGGCCATAATCTGGGTTGATAGCTGTTTTTTTTTTTTTTTTGTTCTCGAATGCTCTTCTATAAATTTTAATGCTTAACTGTTATTTTCTTTCAATCTGCATAGGCACTTAAATGTATTAAACAAACCATAAAGGGGGATGCCAGTGAGTATTGTGGGGACACAAGAAGGTGGTCTTAAATTATCGATTAAGCAGCGCCAATAAATCCATAGTTAAGCTGCATGTTGGAGTTGTTTCATTATAAACATTTGATTCCTTTCAAAGCAATCGCTTGATTCCTTCATTATTTTTTCCTATTTTAATGGCGACAGATTTTCACATCTTGTGTAAATCCTTCTTATTTTCTAACGGGCGAATCCCAAGTCCTTCGGGCTGCTGTCATCGCTCATTGTGATTGGTGTTGAGACGAACTGAGCTTAACAAAAAAGAAACCACAGTAAAAAGTGGTATCCCTGTCCCATCTTGTGGTCATCAAGTGTCAGAGCCTGGTGTTTATATGGAACTCCACCCCAGGCCTTCGGAAGGAAAGTTACGTGAACCTCCTGAGTATCAGTCATTGCTGGACACTCAAGTGATCACCGATTAATGACTGTAAATATATGAGATCATATTTGTGCTCTGCGGTGAAGAAACGACCTTCCTTTCTTGAATCCCACATAGTGATAATCAGAAGTCGAATATAAGCGATCCTCGCAGCTATGAACTAGTAGTTGAAATAAGACCTGAAAAAATTCAAGCTCGTTCGGAATTTGAACCCATGACCTCTGCGATACCAGTGCAGCGCTTTACCCACTGAGCCAACATGCCAATATGTGAACTGCGGTGAAGAAACGAGGATCGCTTATATTCGTTTCTTCACCGCAGTGCACATATATGATCTCATATATTTACAGTCATTATTCACCACGTGGACCAGCTCCCAATTGGCTTGTTAGCTCAGTTGGTGGAGCGCTGCACCGGTATCGCAGAGGTCATGGGTTCAAATCCCGTACGAACCTGAATTTTTTCAGGTCTTATTTCAACTACTAGTTCA